GATCAAGGCATTTTACATGAGGTCATGAAAAATTCGAAGAAGACTCTCGTAGTGGCTATGAACACCATCCACCGCAGAGCTCATACAACTTGAATCTGTGAATAATATTTTGTCGAGTCACTATGCTGAAATGGAATGAACAAGTCTGTTAGAGTGCTTCCACAGCTTTTCGAGATTGATATGCCAGTGGCTTACGCATGCTTCCGGCAGCATCGCCTGTCTCATCTGAGTCGCACGCCACACTGGTCAACCCTACTCCAAAGCAGGGTGGGGGAAACATGTTTCTGATGATAGCACATAAAATTATGGTTATTACTGTTTTTCTCAGAAGGCTTACGACTGGTAGTGAATATGCAGATATTACCTTCCCATCAACTGAAAAAAGTGATAATCGCCACAATTATATGTGCTACGCCCCGAAAACACGTCTCCCATCCCTGCTATAAATCAGAGTTGACTATTAAGGCATGTGTTTTTGATGAGATGGGCGATACCGCCGAAACGTAAGTAAGACACTGACGTATTATCCTCGAACAGGTTTAACACATTCTCATAAACAATACTGTATGCTTACAGCGAGATTTGAAAGCATTCGCTTGGAAGAGAATGCACAAGGGTGGCGGTCATTCGTACCTACTATGCCGATGAAAATCTTCGATAATATAGTGTTTTCACGGAGCTCCCTCTTTGAGGATCCTGCCCGGTTAGTCGCAAGGGCACGTTGTGCGTCCCCATGTGGTAGATAAGGGAATAAACGCGAACCGAAAGCCACCGTGTGCTTCCCAGAAACGCCGGTGGATTCAGGAGATGAGCTCCCCGCTTCTACAGCGCCGACTTGACGAAACTCTATTTCTGAGAGTCAAGTCGGCCAAAAAACTGCAATCAGCGGGTGGTAAGTACATGGGAGGCGGCTAGGAGTCGCCTCCAACAAATTAACTCCTCCCGTTCCTCCGAGAGAGACTGGCAAGCTACTCGTGAGTACTGAGCCCCACATTTAGAGCTTAGCAAACTGAACGTTGGGTCTAAAATGCTAGGAACAGTAACAAATATGGCCTCATTCCCCTGACCTCGAAAGAGCCCCTGGTACGGCAGCGCCAGGTAGGACAAATACGGAGAGGCTGATAAAATCTCTGGGCCAAACTAAGCTGCCGAGATCAAAGCGGACTAAAATGACTATCTCTACCTATAATGCAGGAACTATTGCCCATGAATCCGCTGTAGAAGATCCATTGATTCAAGCAAGAAACATAAGGTGCGATGTCATTGGCTTGGCTGAGACGAGAAGACGCCATCTTTTTCACGCTATTTATAATACCGGAAAAGAACTATTTCTTGGTACATGCGATAGCAGAGGTGTCGGCGGCGCTGGCGTCCTCGTCAAATCGAATTTGATCGTGCACATCGATTCGTTCGAACAACTAACGACCCGTATCGGACGATTACGGTTGAAACAATGTGGTTCTATGGCGACTTTGACCATCTTCGTTGTTACTCACCAGCATCAAGCTATGACGAAGACGAAGTCGAAGCGCCCTATATGGACCTCGAGAAATTCTTCAGAGAAAATCATACATTTTTCAAGGTCATTGTTGGAGGTTTCAAAGCGAAAATTGGAGCTAGAGGAACGTCTGAAGAACGTCACATTGGGACCCACAGACTACAATGGAATGAACAGGGTGAGAGGCTATCTGAGTTTATCATGACGACCCAAACCATCCATGGTAACTCACGATTCCAAAAGCCTTACTCGCTACGATGGACGTGGGAGTTTCCCAATGGAGAGTACCTAACGAGATAGACCACATTTTAGTAAATCGAAGGTTTTGCCTGACCGATGTCGCTGTTGTTCTTAAGTTCTACAAGTAATCAGGCCATCGCCTCCTTAGCGCAATGTTTCGTTTTTCGCGGAGAGGAGAGAAAGCCGCTAAATTCAAAGAAAGGATCCCAGAACTATCATAAATTGGAATGTATTCAAATCATTAGTCGGCTCTTGAGAAGATACCGTTGTCGACAACATCGACGAAGAATACGATCGGCTCGTTGAATATTTTTACGGAAGCGCTATGAAAGCCGAGAGTCCTAAGGTCACGAAGAGACGCTTGTCTTTGCAGACACTCGAGCTGATACGTCAACGCGGAATCGCACAATCTACAGGCAACCGAGGCCTAACGTTCTAATTTACAAAGCGGTGCGGAGAAGCGATAAAAGAAGAGCTCAGAGAGAGACGATCAGCAGTTATGGCAGAAGCTGCAGAGGCCGCCTCAAAAATTCACTTCAAGTGGTATAGATTAGACTCAAAAGTCGATGAGGTAGCTGAAAAAAGAGGCGACCGCTGTAATGGACTTACGATTTCAACTTTTTTATAAAACATGCACAGATGACATGCCCACAAAACAACACACAACTCACATATATACATCTCTCTATAAGTGCACAGGAACTCTCGCAGCTCATTCGGATTGCGGTGAAATTGCTTTAAGTTGGAGGACTTGTGTTGAGCTTCCCTGTACTTTTTCGTTATTTGCACGCCACTTTGAACTTTCAAAAAAAGCTCATTTTACTTTTGCTTTTGGCCATTGAATAATTATTCCATAGTTTAAATCAAAAGAATTTGAACGGTATATTCCAGTTTCAAAAGGCCTTGGTATTACGCTGAAAAAGCGGAAATAATATTTTGTTTCTCATTCAAAGATTTCTCGCTAACCAAAAAATTTTCTTTCGCAGTTTTAATAACCAATCGACAGATCAAATTCTAAAAATTTTAATAATTTATTCTGGTTTCATAAAGGACCTAGTATTACGTTGCAACAGCCAAAAGAAATTGAACTCCACAAGTTAGAGGAAAAGCTTCGAGTGCGAAACTCAATTTTCTTTTGGTTCTCATGAAGCGCTAAGAAGTTCGTCCAAGAAAACAAAAACACTTTTCTATATACTTGAGATCTGATCTATCGTTTGTTCTTTAAAACTGTGAGAGAGAGGCTTCGCTCGGCAAGAAACCCTCAAATAAAAATATAATATTTTTGCTCTTTCAGCGCAATGACAAGGCTTCCTTGAAAGTGAAATACACCATTGAAATTTCTTTGAGTTAACTCATCGATTGATATTGAAGCATTAGAAACGAAGAAAATACGTTTTTCCCAATGAATCGAAGTAAAGAGAGAGTAATTGAAGTGACCCATTTCTTTGAGAAACCCAATATTCTCTTGGGTGTTACAGCGTAATATCAGGTCCTCGATGAAAATAAATGAATCGTTTCAATCCATAAGATTTGATCTATCGATTGCCTACTAAAAATCCAAAGAAAGGCCTTTGTTCAGCGAGTAATCTTCCAATGAGAAACAAAATTTTATTTCCGCTCTGCTCTCTTAGTGCAATAAGGAGGCTATTTCATAGATGAAATACACCATTCAAATTTCTTTTATTTGCGCTATCTAAAGGCTATTTGAACATTGAAAAAGACCAAGTAATAAGCTTTACACGGAGTCGAAGTAGCGAGCATATAGCGGAAAAGTATCGGCTACCCGCTACTTCTCTGCATACAGCAATTGCTGCTCCCGGTGTAATTGGGAGGCAGCTACTGAATGCTGCAAATGACGAGCTCTTCATGGGCACAGTCGCCACAATCCTAAACTCTGCAACACATCCAGTAGCGATGCTCTTTTCCACTGACCCTCTCGACGACGCATATATCCACCTAGCATATGTGCATGTATGTATGTCATATGCATGTATGAAGTCTGAATCACAAACCTCGGAAACGGCTGAAAAGGCTTTTCTGAAAATATCAAAATTTTGAAGACGAGGTGGGAGTGTAGCTCAGTAGGTGTTAGCTTGCACACGACACCGCACGTTTTTGGCATTCACGTCGTCGAGGTCAACGGGCGTCTTCTGTGACTCTAGCACAGCGATTATAGCTTTGCGCAACTTTACTCATTATTTTTATATGTCTCGTTTTCCGTCTCTTTCACCTTGCATTTTCTTCTGCTTGTTTGTTCGAAAATCATTCATATTCTGACATTTACATAGCATAACTCAGCTTTAAATGAATCTAACCAGTTGAAGTGAACATGGTAAGTCTGTGCTGTTGATTGCATACAAATATATTTTGTGATGGAACTTCATCATACAGAGACGAAATTGCTTAGCCTTTCGGCTACAGTGTGACCCATTTTGCAACGTACAGTGCCGTGTCCTCTTGCCTATTGCTCATCTACTGTAATGGCGTTGTCGTGCCTTGGAGCGAAATTGCATTGGGCGCGAGTCGCAGTGGAAATAAACTTGCTAAATTCAGGTTTCAGAGGACATTATCTTTACTAAGCGACAAAATGCAATCAGTGAGACTTCTAATAGGGGTTTTTTGAGTAGATCCTTTTATTATTATTTGAGCCAACTTGTCATGTGTTCTGGCAATGGCTCTTGTACAGCCCGATACACGTGTTTCGTCCTTTCAGACTCGTCAGTCGGGCAGAACTAGTTCTTGAGTTAAAACAGCACCCATATGTATAAATCATGATGCTTCAACCAGAAAGCTATATCGTTGTGAAAAGGGGCATATTTGTAGCTCTTACTTAGAAATTTTTCTTAATTCGTTATGATTTTGCATTCGTTCGATAGCTAGGTAAATCCGATTTAAACAGCAAACTTAATTTGAAAAAAGATTTTCACAGTACGCTCATAGTAACAAAAAGAAGGTTGCGTTTTGCTCTAAAAGCTACTAGCTCGTTGTTTCAACTTCACAGCGGATTTGTGGTATTTTTATACTATAATTTCAGTTCTAAGGAAACTCTATAGCTAAAAGAAGCTTAGTATTACTAGATAATCAGTCTAAATTCTATTTTGACTGCCACCTGCAGTAGTATGATTTTATAGTATACGCAATATGTGGAGTACTGTGCAAAAACGTTTGCGTCAGCCGGGATTCGAACCTAGATCTCACTCTTTCCGGGAGCGTATGCTAACCATTGCACTACCGACGCTCGTTTTGCACAGCACTCTTATTTACGCTATAACGGTAGTGCAATGGTTAGCATACGCCCTCGGGGAGTGAGATCTGGGTTCGAATCCCGGCTGACGCAAACGTTTTTGCACAGCACTCCACATATTGGGTATATTACTGGATAGCTTTTACAAAAGCGTTTTTTGTTTGCAGTAACGACAAACTCTGTGGATCGCGATCTTGTTCTGTGGGATGTGCTCGTTTTTTCTTGTGTCCTTCTATAAGCAGAGTTTTTTCGCTAAGCCACTACTCTTCGATAACTCTGAGAATTAACATGGCAGGCTTCTGGAAAGACTCTCAGTGAGCAGTACCCATCCAAGAGGAAGATGCGCCTCACCTTCTAGTTATTTTTTGTTTGAACTTCATAACTGCTCTTGTTGGCAGTTATTCAATAAAGTTTAGATGAGAGTATCAGTCTATCGCCACGAAAAGGTGACACATTGCCAAGAAATTATTAATATCCTATTTTCTATAGATATTTTCAGTGAAGAAAAACGTCATGCGTCCGCATTTTTTTTAGTAAAACAGCACTCAGAAATTTACCTTGTTTCAAGCGCTTGTTGCTCAATTTCGCCGTCTATCTTACGAGAGTCAGACTGTCTTTTCCGAAGCAGGATTCTCTTAGTCGGCAGACAGTTGTCGTTATAGAACGAGCTCCCAACAGTGGACAAGTACGGTGTGTAAAAAGAGATTGGCTTTTTTGCACCTGGGCTTTACGTCGTCTTGAACATTTCCCGTCGTCATAAAAGAGAGGAGGCTGCCGAATGACAACACTTTCCTCACCGTCCACCTTCTCTGGAGGAAATGCACAATCCAGTTTTGCATTTTTTGAGGGCAAAAAATTTTGCGCATGTCTTCCTAGACAATTTATGATATTATCAGGTTTGGTGTACCCTGCAGAAAGATAGCCCTTCTCGCATGCAAACACTAGGATTTTTCTCACTAACATATAGAAGAAGCACAAGTGCACACACAATGCACTAACATTTCCTATTACCAATTATCTTACACTTGATAAAAGAGCCAGTTCAAAACACTATGTTGGTATCGGCATTGGATTTTCTGGAGGTAGCAGATATGTACATCTGAACTGTGGGTTAGACATGGTCTGACAAAAAATAAATCGCGAGTATAGTTTGAATTTCTGCTTCAAACTATTATCGGCGGAAAAAACGAAACAAATCATGAAAAAGAGTGATTAATCATACTGATAAAGGTGGAGAAGAATGTGCATCGGAAGCTGTTAGGTGGGCCAGAAAGTCTCTGATCAACCTTAATCTTTTCTATATTTCTATAGAGGTCTCAACCTCTGAGCTACATTTGTGAATAAGAAGGTGTTGAGAGTAGTAGACGATGTGCATCGTATACAGTAAGCAGCACCATTTTAAGCAAACTCTTGTTGTTTTCTAAGACTCAAACGATGTCACGATGTTGTGTCTTATCTGTAATGAGATCAGAAATGAAAGATCCACATCGTCAATCTAGAGTTCAGATAAAAGAATAGCGCAGAAAGAGTAATGAAAAAACGGGCGTCAGTGGTTCAACGAGTTAAGGCACGCGCTCTCGGATGGAGGAAAATCTGGGCTCGAGTCCCTACTAACACTAACGTTTTCTACAACGCTCTACATCACTGGGTATAAAAAAATAACAATATCAATACTCAATGATTTATTCAGTTGCGCGCCATTGTACATTTTATGATCTACGAAAGCCACTGGTTGTTGACATAAGGATTAATAGATATGACTGTAATATGGATAAGTATAAATAGGGCAGTATAAAAAAAGTATTTTATAGAAGTTCGAAATATGAGCATGATGTATCTGGAATTACATCTGAGAAATGCGAACTCAAGAGGAGACCTCGGCGTTACTTCTGCTGCGGATAACGTTACTAAAGTTTCTTTATTGATATTCTAGAATTATTCACGAGAATTTCTCCTAGTGACGGTAATAGTCTCATCTTTACAACAAAGATTCAATTTCGTAGTAATAACGCTCTCCGCCTGGCTGTTTATCGAAAACGGCCTCCGCCTTAACCTCGACATTACCAATGAATTTTGTTTTTTTTTTTGTTGATTAGGCCAGAAGCGTAAGGCTAATTTCAAGAAAAAAAACTTACGGCCATCGTTTTGACATATCCGTCTTCTTCAGAGCCGATAAATCAAATCGACAGTCCACGCACGTTCTCCTCGTTGTAGTCTTCTACTTCGTTGTGGTTCGAGTCAAAACGTTTGCACTATGAATTGCCTGCTGAAAATTAATTGTTTATCAGCAAGAGAAATCATTATTATCAACAGCCGCACTATACTTGAGGGCATCACCAAATACGGCTCTTCATTCAAGCGAAGTTCTATCGAAAAAAATTTGGACAACAACGAAGACGAAGATCATAAGGAGATGATTTCAGTATTCTTGTGTGTAATCTCGCTTCTCTTCACGATTCGATGTAATGTGATTAACCAACGAATTGAAATACAGTGCATTATTCAAAGTAATCCTGACACACTATGTTTTAACACTGAAAGCTCTTGGCATATGAAACCTCTGAGAGAAAACTGGAAATGTGATGATAAACTGTTTCACTGAGCTTATATAGAGAAAACAAAGATAGCAGCGATTGTTTAGATGTTAACTCAATACCCTAGCATGTGAGTCGAAAATTCGACCTGCGAAACATCTCACTTTCGAAGTCGCATTGTGAAGTGGTCTACACCAACACATTGAGACGTGAATATGGGGGACAGAAAGAGGTTTGATTCTTTGCCGGTAGGATTGCACAATGATGGAAGTGATACTTGAGACGGTTTGGTCTCACAGGAAATTAGAATTTCTTTCCGAAAGATTGATTGGGAGTAAACCGGAATTTGCTTCACCTTCGACGGAACTATGTGAAAATATATGAAACTATTCCTCTTACACTGCTCGTTAATGGATTAGAAAAAAATTCGCCTTGCTATATCAACGATGAAAAATTTGATGACATTCAGTTTCGTCAGATCAAAAACATCATCTCATACTGTTAGGTTTCTCAAGAACAACCAGCCGTAATGGACGTAAAACAATAAAAGGGTAGTTAAGTCAAATTATTCAAGAAAATACCTCTCTGCGCATATACAGGTCAGCATACTGTGTTCAGTCTACGTGTTCATATCCGAATAGTTCTCTGCAGAGGTTGCAAAACGTTAGGCGGCTTAGTGCCCACCTTCGCAGTATTTTTCGTTGTTCTCTCTGTATTATACTAAGAGATCGTAGAACTCAAATTGTTGTGTTTCTATAGAAAAGATGTCGTAATATTTACCTCATTGGTACCACTGTCTATGTCATTTCGTTTAGTAAAAGATAACTAGCGCGAAAGTTGTCGACATAGCATGAAATTGTCATTCAAAGAAATGTGTAGAAATGTTTCAGCATCAGAAAAAAACAGCTAAAGGGAAGATGACAAGTGCAAAACTCATCCGGGTGTAATCGCTTTGAAAAGGCTTTCGACTCAGTTGAGGCAAAGTGGTTGTAGAATCTCTGAGCAACCAGAAGGTCCCTTCCACTATACGACGATAATCACTTTCACATCAGCGATACAGCTATGTACGTTTGAATGGTAACTCAAAATAAATACTTTCATTATCATTTGAGGCAACTTGTCATGTGATCTGGTAAGGGCACTTGTACAGCCCGATACACGTGTTTCGTCTTTACAGACTCGTCAGCCGGGCAGAACCCGTCGTCTTTCGATATTTTTGAAGTAAGTTCTCTCGGAAGCTCTGCTCCCTTACAGAGAGTTATCGAAGACAAACTTTTTACACTCTATGTCAAGCGAAATTTTCACCTAACACAGTGTTTTCGCACTCGATTGCTCGCTGGCTGGTACATTTATCATATTATACCTTTCTTTCGAGTGCTTTTTTTGAAACCACGCTCATATTCAAGGTTAGGTGAAAATTTCGCTTGACATAGAGTGTAGAACGTTCGTCTTCGATAACTCTCTGTAAGGGAGCAGAGCTCCCGAGAGAACTGGCTTCAAAAATATCGAAAGACGACGGGTTCTGCCCGGCTGACGAGTAGAGTTCTAGTCAGAGATTCAAGCTTTCGAATGACTACTAATACTCCAGCGAAAAACACCTGTCCAGTGAATGATATCGGCTTAAATATTTGTCTCCGTTTAAGCGAATTGTATCGGTTTCATTCTTATAAAGGTCGCGAAAGTTGTGTTCACTGCTTTTCTCGGAGAGAATACGCTACATAAATGACAGCAAGTGAACAGATATTTCGTCAGCAACTTGCTACTGCTCATCCATTCAGCAGATCTAGATGTGTGTGTGTGTGTGTGTGTGTGTGTGTGTGTGTGTGTGTGTGTGTGTGTGTGTGTGTGTGTGTGTGTGTGTGTGTGTGTGTGTGTGTGTGTGTGTGTGTGTGTGTGTGTGTGTGTGTGTGGTGTATGTGTATGTGTATATGTATGTATATGTTTATGTGTATGTGTATGTGTATGTGTATGTGTATGTGTATGTGTATGTGCCGCAGGTGAAGTAACTCGTCAGCTACACATTGATTACAATTACGCCTACGCTGTATAGTTACTCTTCATGTCTCTAGAACCGAATAAATGCTTTTACGAGTTTCCGTGAGTTTTGACAGCACGGAAAACATCGTCGGCGCGGCGTCGGCAACATTTTCACATGGTGTCCTTCAACAGCAGTCTGAACCGCTGTTCACTTAAGATGGCCAATGCAATAGTTGTTCTTCAATAAACGAGTGAAAAATTTGTAACTGAATCCTAAGTCATTCCTTTTTTGGAGGGACTTTTATCGTTAATCCACAAAAATACTTCCACAAGTTTGAATAGGATAAACAGTGAGGAGAAATTCTTCGCCTTATCCGTGGTAGAGGTATTCGTTAGCATGATGGGAAAACACCACAAACGCAATTCATTGGACATCCACCGATGTCTTTGCATAAAGTCGTCTTTCCATCTTACTCGAAAAACCTGGCCTGCACTAGACTGCAACAGCTGTGAAAATTGTGGGAAACAAATGCCATTTCAGATGTAAGATATGTTGAAGAAACAATATTTCTCATTGCAAGA